GATAGATAGATAGATAGATAGATAGATAGATAGATAGATAGATAGATAGATATAGAAGCTTCACAGCATCTTTCCTTCTGATCTCCCCCACCTATCCTTCTTTGTCCACTTCCTTCTCCACAGACTAGCTATTGGACCTTTGACTCCTCTTCTTCAGGTAGGCCATAGAAACCTGAGTTCCATTTTCCCAAGCAAACCATAAATTACAAAATAGTACTCACATCTTCCCCTACCTTTCTGTCTTAGAGCTAACCATAAAGACACTTATTATCCAGGTGGTGGTGATGCATACCTTTAATCCTAGCACTAAAGAGAGAGAGGCAGGTGAATCTCTGAGTTTGAGGCTAGTCTGGTCTACAGAGTGAGTTCCAGGACAGTCAGGGCAGCACAGAGGAATACCTGTCTTTAAAAAGCCAAAAAAAGACAAACAAAACAACAACAAAAAAAAACCCAAAAAACAAACAGACATTTGTTGGCTTGCATTGTCTGAGAGTAGAACCTAAGACCTATATTTCACAACAGATGCTGTGTTGAAGTCAGGAGAAAGAAATGTGTACAAACAGACCAGTACAGAGCAGATAGGTTTACTTGGTTTTCCCACTCAGTTTATTATCTAATTAGATAATAATTATATCTAATTATAGCTAAAAATAATAATATCAAATTAGATAAACATTTTGGCTTAGACACATTGAACAATTGTCCATACTTCAGTTGCACATATACCATGATGTCTCCATGAAAATTCTGATCACTTCCTCCATTTGATTTGATTTGATTTCTCATTGTATTATTTATGTGCACGTATGTGTGCATATTTGCAAACACATGTGGAATGTGCCATGACGCACATGTGGAAGTCAGAGGACAACTTTCAACAATCAGGTCTGTCTTCTACCATGTGTCTCAGACTCAGGTCACCAAGCTAGACAGCAAGCACCTTCACCTGCTGACCTACAGTACCTGTCCCTTAATCTATAGTCTTGCTCCCAATGACATCTAGTCTTCATCCATTTCCTCAAAGCACAACCCTGTGCCTGGAATAGTCTCTGATCCCTTTGCACATATTTAGCTCCTTAACCTCCTAGCCCCAAGTCTACGATCATCAAGAAAGATTTCGCAGAGAAGGTGAAACCCACTACAGGTATGACCCTCTCACAACAACATGGCCTTTTCCTTGAGGAGACATATCAAAAGTCATCATTTTGCTTTTTAGCTATGCTTGTTAATTTCTCCATACCCTAGAAAACTGACAGCCATAAGTATACATGAGTCTGCATGATACCTCCCCAACTTGACACACAAAAGAATTTTTTTTTCAAAGTTTATTAAATTATGAAAGTTTCCATTTCCACCCCTCCTCCCAACACCCTCCCACTCCCCCCTCCCCCTCCTCCTCCCTCTCCATCCCTAAGAGCAGTCAGGGCTTCCAGCCCTGTGGGAAGTTCAAGTTCCTCCCCCCTCCCTCCAGGTCCAGGAAGGTGAGTATCCAAACAGACTGGATCCCAAAAATCCAGTATATGCAGAGGAAACAAGACTCAGTGTCATTGTCAGTGACTTTTCAGAAAGGCTCCGGGCCAGCCACATTCAGAGAATTCGGCCACATTCAGAAAATCTGGTTGGATCACATGCTCGTTCAGTCCCAGTCCAACTGGCCTTGGTGGGTGGGAGGGTTGTTGGAAGGGGAGAGGGTTAGAGAGAAGGGAGTAGGGGAGGAATGGGGAAAACTCGGGGGACTGAGATGGGGGGAAGGAGGAAGGATGGATATGGGATCAGGGAAGAATATATCTCAACTAAGGGAGTCATTTTAGGGTTTACAAGAGACTTGATTATAAATGGGATCCCAGGTCCAAGGAGAGATCCCCAGATTGTTCTCTAGACAGAGGAGAGGGTGCCTGAACTGGCCTTGGCCTATAACCATACTGATGAAGATTTTGCTTATCACCATAGATCCTTCATCCGACGATGGATGGCGATACAGACGGAGACCCACACTGGAGCACCGGACTGAGCCCCCCATGGTCCAAATGAGGGGCAGAAGGAGGAAGAACATGAAAAAAAACTCAGGACCGCGAGGGGTGCGATCACCCACTGATACAAGGGGACTCATCTAATGAGAGTTCACACAAAAGAATTTTAATAAACATTATTTGAAAGAACTGGTGACCATTTCACCTAATGGTCCACAGAGGTGATTCCCACACAGTCTTCCCAGGAACCTTCAATTTAAACCTAATGCCATTTCTCGGGGCATCTTCACAACAGTTACACGCTTATTTGAAAAACTAAAACTCAACAAAATGTTACATTTGACTTTCTAAAATTCAAAGGTTTAACAGAAGGTACCCAAATGCTGGCTAGGGAGTAGTCTAAAGGATCATTTGTATGGCGTTTGATATTCCCCAACAGAAATAGAAAGCAAGTGGTACATTTCCGACAAATCTTATCTTGTTAAATCTTATTCAGCATTTTATCGGCAGGTGTTTTCAGACTGATTCACTCTGTTGTTCATTTGTTTAGAGAACAGGAGTCCCACACAATAGCCAAAGCTGGCCAGGAACCCTCGATCCTTCTATCCTCTTTGAATCCTTGAATTCAATTTACCTCCTAGACCAGAACACCCTCAGGTCCAGACCCTGAGTTCTCTAAGCCCTGGAACCCTTGTAGGTCAGTATCTCTCTTGGCTGTGACACTCCTGCGCAATGCACAAAATATTTACACAGCCGCAGAAGGAGCTGTCTGGAGCCAGGAAGATCAGACGGCGGCTGACTGAAAGTAATAGATGTGCCAGAGAGTGGCTGCTGACAGTGGACCGTGGAGAGCATGTGGATTGCAGAGAGCAGGCTCTGGAAGCCAGAGTGGCAAGAGCAAGCAAGGTGGAGACGCGAGGCAAGCTCCTAGAGTAAGTACCTCGGTTAGTTGCTTACCTGCTGTTCCTGAGGTAGACGCTGCTGTATCTCTAAAGATAATTTTCGTATCATCAACTCTGCCACCAAGAACTCTCAGTTCTCCTCCCTAGTCACAGACAAACTACTAAAACGGTAAACCCTTAAGCTTGCTGTGGTAATGTGTACCTGTAAGTCCAGAACTCGGGAAATAGCGGCAGGGGGATCAGGTCAAGGTAATCCTTGGCTACATAGGGGGTTTGAGGCCAGCTCAGGCTACATGACAACCCATCTCAATAAGCAACTGCCTATTAGATAGATATAGAAATAGATATAGATATAGATAGAATAGATATCCTTAACCGAATAGTATAAAATATAAAGCATACCTTTACTCCCTTCTGAGTAGAAAAGGGTCACAGCATCAGAGCAACTGGTCAGGGAACGTCAAAAGGCCCAGGTTCAGATTTTCTTTTAAATGATGTTTACAATCAGCAGCGAGGCAGCCTGGAAATTTTAATTTGCTTGATTAGAAATTTGATTTGATTTTCTTGTGGCCGGGAAGTCTTTCTAAAAACAATTACCAGAGTACAAGAGGGAAGTCGTAAGTTCCTCTGGAGACATGGAGGGAGGCTGAGCTAGCTGCTGTGACTTTTGTTCATCTCTGTGTCTCTGCCAACTACAGTGCCCCCCCCCACCTCTCTCTCGCAAGCAAAGGGTTTAGGAAGTTTAGATAAACTGAATTCTCTGCCAGGACAACGCAAGGGTGTGTCTATGCATACATGCGTGTATGTGTGTGGGTGTATCATAGATACGAAAATGTGGTCTAACAGAAAATCCTAAGGAGAACTTTACCTTCCCCCAATGTTGTACTTCTCTGGAAGTGAATCAGTCTACTGTAAACACTTTCAATTGTATCAGGAAAAACGTCAATATTTCCTTTATACAAAGCAAGGATCTGGACATAGAATTTAGTTCTAGGCTCAGTGCCTTCTGATCCACTTGATGCTCTGTTGGTATACTTCTATCTTGCTAGTACCAAAGGCTTAGAGCCCAAGCCGAGATCTTATGAGACACCTCCAGTCTACTTCCCCCATTTGACAAATATCCTTGTTTCAGTTCTTGAAAAGGTGTCCATTTTATGGTCATTTTAAGAAATGTAATAGTGCCAAGAAATATCTGGTATCGTGTCTCCCATTTTAGTTTTAAAAATTCAGCTCAGCTGCTCCCATTGAAATCAACTGGCCCAGCATGGTGGCTCGTGTCTGTAACTCCAGTGCTTTGGAGGCTGAGGTAGGACAATTACCATGCACTTGAAGCCAGCTGGGCTACAGTGAGTTCTAGGCCATCCTGGACTATGGAGTAAAACATTGTTGAAAGAAAGAAAGAAAGAAAGGAAGAAAGGAAGAAAGAAAGAAAGAAAGAAAGGAAGGAAGGAAGGAAGGAAGGAAGAAAGAAAGAAATAAAAGAAAGAAAGGCCAAAACCTGAACAAGAGGCCATAGTAAAACCTTGTCTTAATAAACAAATTAGCTAATTAATTAATACCAAAACAGAACAATGGCCAGGGAGATGGGTCATTGAGTAAAAGTACTTGCTCCACAAGTCTGGCAAACCGAGACCAGATCCTAGAACCCATATCAAAAGTTTCATTCCATAGTCCATTACTCCTGTGAGCTGGGAGGTGAAGATAGGAAAGTGTCCCTGAATCTCTTGGGCCACCTTAGTCTGGAGCAGGAGGTGAAACACCAGAAACAATGAGCGATCCTGTCTTGACAAGGCGGATGGTGAGAATCAGCTCCCCAAAGTTACCCTCTGACCTTACATATGCTCCATGGCACGGCGTCCTCTATACCCACAGTGCACCATGTCAGTCCTTTAGCACTCAGGAGGCTGATGCAAAAGGATAATCAGGCAACTTAGACTACAAAATGAGATCCTGTCTCAGGACAACAGCAACAAAGAAATAACTAATGCTCCATTACTAAGTAGTCTTTCTCCTAACTCCTGGGAGCCTCCAAACTTCCATTTTTTTTTTTAAAAAAAAAGACTAATATTGAGTCTCTAAATATTTTATTAATGGGCATCATGCCTCTCTAATGACATTATACATTTCTGATTGGGCTGTAAGTTTGTGGTTCGATGACGAGTCTTGCTCTCTAATTAGATTGCCCCGTAATTAGATCGGTAGCCCTGGAAACACAGCGTTGCTCCTGCATTTACCATGAAACAACCTGACAGCAAGGCTCCAGCAAAAATAAAAGGGCAGTTTTAATGGCATCTCCAGTTACAGAAATATCCATCAGGATGAAAAGCAGAGACAACTTTAACCTTAGAATTCTTCCAGGCAGTGTCTGGCTCTAAAATTTCCATTTCTTCTCTCAGTCAAGGTTTTTCAAATTCTTGCTTCCCCTTTTCTAGTCAGTGTCATGTGACTATTTTGATATTTTTATACCCATTTCAGTTTCTTGAGTCAGCGTCTCACTCTGTAGTCCAGAGTGGCCTCAAACTCCAACACTGCTCCAGCTTCAGACGCCCGACTGTTGAGAGAGCGAGTCAAAGGCCCCACGGGGCATTTTTAAAAAACCATTTAAATTCCTTATAAAAAGCTTCTCTAATCTCATGTGTGTGTGTTTCTGCCTTTTTTTGTTTTTGTTTTTATAGAGGTGCACATCCAGCTGCCTTCCACATCCAAAGATGGAGCAGGGTCTGGAGAAAGGGCGCAGCAGTTTCGAGTTCTTGCCGCTCCTGCAAAAGACCTGAGTTTGGATTTCAGCCCCTCGGTCAGGTGGCTCACAACCATCTGTAACTCCAGCTACAGTGACTCCCACGCCCTCTTCTTGCCTCCACTGTCACTTGCCCACCTGTGACTTATACACACCGAGACATGTATTATACATCTACACAATAAATTTTAAAAATAAATATTTTTTTTTTTTAGATTACAGAGAATTTCTAGAAGTCAATATGTCCCTCCTAGTCAGCTCCCATCCAGAGAAGGACCCCTCAAAGCCTGGCACTACAGGCAATGATGCCTGCTCTTGAATGACACAGCTCTCATCGCTCAGTTGCACCCCCTGCTCTTTGGTCTTCTCGTCCCGCACGGTGACGATGGTGCTCGGCAACACTGCCACGCAGAGCAATGATTTGTTCTCTTCGCTGTCGGGCAGCACTGTGTTTTAGAAATAGACAGCATGTTGTTTCTCTGTTCATCTGCTGTTAGATATTTGGGGTTATTCCTTGCTTTTGACCATTATTATTGGATATTAGCCTCTTTATACACAATATTTGGTGGACAGAAGTACCATTTATATTGGGAATGTATCCAAGGGTAGAATCTCTGACCAAACAGCAGACGGACAGTAAGCTTTCACAGGTGTTGTCAACCCATTTCCCACCTCTAGCAACAAAACCAAAAAGGATTACCGCTGCAGTACCCCTGGCTTTCAGCACCTGATGTTAAGGAACAGCTGATTCCATTTTCCCTTTAGTCAAATTCTGATTTATTTCTCTATCGTTCTCTATGGTATTTGCTTTAATCATTGCCCCAGGGTGAAGGTTAAACTACAGGTCTGCTTGTTTTTGAAACTTCTTCTTTCTCTATGATCTTGTGACCTGTGCATTATGAATTGTTTCCCTTATGACTGACTATAAACCCACAACATGTGTTTTTCTCATAGTCTTAAAAATAACTGACTATGCATGCCTTCAACTCCAGTGCTCAGAAGACAGGGACTACTGGATCTCTGTGAGTTAAAGTCCAGCCTGGTCTACGGAGCTAGTGTCAGGACAGACAAGGCCACATAAAGAAATCCTGTCTCTAAAAAACAAAACAAACAAGCAAAAACCTGCTAACTGCAAAATCCACTTTTATAATCTTGTTATAAAAGACCTCCTTCCCTTTGGTCAAGGCCACTTCATTGTCCTAATCTCAAGGAGATTGTAAGTTTGACCCAGCTATTAAAAAAAAAGAAGAAGAAAAGAAAAAAAAACTAAATTTTTGTTTTGCAGCATTTCAGTGTTAACTTCTGGTTTTTGACACCATAACTAACACTGGACAGTGGCCAACTGCACACTGGCTGAATTTGGGGATTGGTTTATCAGCACTAAGGCCATAACAAGGACACTCCCAGTGAACTTCCACCTAGAGGAATGGGGGACGGAGTACAAGGAATGAAGGTGAGGGACAAGATATGGGGGAGGACTGATAAGGTACGAAAAGTGAAGGGTCAAATGTGAGGGATGAGAAATGAGAGCTAAGGATTGAGAAATGTGGGATGAGAGATGAGAACCGAATGCTTCACAAAAGTGGATCCAGAGCAGGGAGGCAAAGGCAAGAGTGGGAGCTAAGCCTGTTGCACAACCCTGGCTTGGGCATTTGAGATTCTGAGAGAAGCGCTAGGACTCTGTGTTCGAGTAGCACACTCGGGAGTCCATATTTTATTGCTGGGAGTTTTATATTCATTAGATAGATAGATGATTGATTGATAGGTAGATAGATAGATAGATGATGGATAGATAGATAGATAGATAGATAGATAGATAGATAGATAGATAGAT